AATTAGGAAAAAAAGCAGAAACAATTTGATTATCCTTTCAAACCAACTTAAGATCAACTGCAGGAGGCAAGGATACTACAGCTGCTGTCCTACTGCTTTCAATAGCATGAAAAAACACACTTCCAAATCCTAAACTAACATTTTCTTAGCCTGGTTGTGGCTGCTTGGCCTGCATTTTAGATAACCAGAGCTGTGACTGTTTCTCTATGCACACTATATGAAACTCTTCTTTCCAGAAGTATGAATATGCTGCTTTAACACATCTAGCAGCCATTTGGACTGTTACCTTTCCTAGCCAAGCTTTCTTTCGGCAAACCTCTTCTGAAAGGTGTCTTCAGTGTAGTAGGTCCAAATGACTCCATTTTTCTTTTGCTGTTTCTCAGAGGGGGTTGCAAGCGGAAGCAAAGACATTTGTTCACCTAAACCACAATTAACCACACAGGAAAAAGTAGTAGTTTAGCTATTTCAGACACCGTCAAATTGGATTGTTTGAACTAGCCTGAGTTCCTCCGACTCAACAATGTCAGCATCCCATGCCGTGCCGCGGCCAGCTCCTTCCACAGCCACTGAGTGGAGGCCTATCTGTAGGACACCATGCAGGTCCTGGGCTGAGAAGAAGGGGGTGCATCAGCTCTAGCACTGCCTCAGCATTTGGGAGGTGACATGCCCAGCTTTGCTGCAAAGACAACAGAATTTGGCTTTGGCCTTGTGGAAATGGACTGGCTGCAGCTGTTGACCCTTCAGACCTGTCTGCAACCCTTCTGTAATGACAACATAAAGGGAAAAAACCCAGGTGGAATACCATGAACTATTAAAGGAGTCAGGCAACACTAATTAGAGCCATGGGAGGCAGGTCTGTCTAAAATGACCTGCTCAAGTCTTCCTCTAGCAAGCTGTAACACCCACCTTTCACATGCCCAAACAGGCCAGGCTGTGAAGTCGGCATTTGCAAATTGAAGGTATGAGAACTATTTGGCTTCATAACTAAGAGGAGCATTAAGCTGTTTGACAGAGCCATCTCCGTACAGTGCTTTTCAACCCACATACACTGAAATCACTTAAATAGATAACATTCCTGTATGTCACCATCTTTATTGTTTGCTCAGGCATATCTACAAACCAAGGAGGGCTGTGGGTCAAGATAAAAATTTTTAATCTATCTATCTGTAGGGTTTTAAAACAACATTCTTTTGTGGAATCCCATCACTTCCAGGAATTTTAGACACAGCTGTCCTAACTGGCTATTTGAAAGGAAAATGAGAAGATATTTCCCAGTTAGTGACCTGGTAAAGATGCCGCACTGACTTGTTTCATGCTTGACTTACATAGGTCAAGTACTTCTATGTAGTAAACACAAAACACAGGAGCATTTCCAGCATCTGTGGGATTTTTTTAGCCCTCTTAAGTGGCATTTTTCCCAAATTTACTCCCCGAACCATTCACTTTTGACAGTCGGCTTAAAGGAGACTTACCACACCAAGGGAGGGGTGTTTAATGCAGATATTGGAAAAGTTTGGTAGGAATGCACAG